TGCTCCGGTTTTAATGTTGACAAGGTGGGTTAGGATAAACACAGTTAAGAAAGTAATATCACAGTTGTTGTAAAGGTAATGTAGTCTATATAGGCTAAATAATTAGGTAAGCGTATAATACTTGATGTAAAGCCTATTTGATCATAAACCCACATCTAAATTTTTGCTATAGAAATGTTAGTCGTAATCCTAAAATCAGGCCTCTAGACTAACTAATCTTCACTTCTTAACGTTTTATTGCAAACATTTCCCGTATTTATAGTCCTTCTTCATACCTACCTACATACCTTGGTAGCCTGCAGTATGTAGGTTTTATAACTATAGATATACGTAAACTACCACTGGCACTGAATATCCAAATAGGTCTTTGCCTACCTACCTGCTGTCTTAATTCTTGGCTATTGTTTACGCCTTTTCTGAAAAGAATGATTTAAACCTTTTTTATATGAGTTATACTGTATAGGAGTTATATAAAACTAGGTATTATGCTCATAGTCTGGATTTACACCAAGTTGGTGTCCACACAGAGGCACTTTTAAGGTGCTTTACACCAAAGCAGTAAAAAGACTTTCGGACGCCGGTGTAAGTTTACACTCATAGTGTAGGAAGTGACAAGTTGGTGCCAGTAAATTAGCAGTGTATAATGAAGACTTTGGAAAGTGTTAACTTACACTCCGGTGTTAACACTGACATAGTGTTTACACCAGCTGCATGCATCTATACCGATCACTGACAAAATATTCCTTGATTTGATGTGATTTACTATAGTCTACATATTTTTGGCATAGTCATAGATATGAGTTTCATTTTGTGATAAATCTGTTTGTGCATATACTAATTCCTGCAATTCCTAGCTGGTACTGAAAATAATTGCATGTGATTCCTGGTAAAAGCGGAATTGCATGTGATTCCTGTTAAAAGAATTGTATGTGATTCCTGGTAAAAGACAAGGTCCAATGATTGACTGTTTTCATATTTCGCATAACTCTCTTAATATTAAGAAAATACAAAATAACAGTAACTCTGAATAATATTTTGATTTTTAATCGACGTTTCGACTATAGGTAGTGTTCTACAATAATAAGCTACCGTGGTTTGTGTCTGAAGTACGTGAAATAGATATCTCAAACGTGGTGATCCAGTCACTGTAAGTATCTACCAAAAGAAGGCGTGGTTTGTGTATGAACTCTACCTGAAGTATATATAGAAATGTATTGCTTTCTCGAAATCTTTTTCGGTTTGCTCAGACCCGAATTGTGATAATTTCAACTTAAACTGATTTTGAACTGACATCAGTATAAAGACTGATCAGAGTTAAAATGCGCCGAAAATAAGGGATAGTGGGGGATAGCTAGTATATACGGTAGAAAACAAGGAATTCGAATAACATACGGTATATTTACTCATGCGCTACCGGGTCAATATAATTTTATTACATCATCTAGTTGAAGTAAAATATCATTAACAGAAGGTGCTATTTCATCAAAGGAATCGAGTTCATTCAGTCTCTCCACAATATTTTGGCTTTTTGTGCAAATCTCTTTCACTTCGTGACCAGCTGCCTTTAATAATTTATTTTCGTGCGTCAACGTTTCAAGTTTTTGTTCTAGTGCATTATGTGCAGATTGGTTTGACTCTAATTCTCTCTCTTTATCATTTAGTATGTTTCTTATTCGTTGAAATTCTGAATTTGCTATATTTCTTCTATTTTGAGCTGAATCTAGCTCGAGTTTAAGTCTCTTTACTTCGTTTTGACATTGTGTGACTCGTTCCGGTGCATTTATAACGTCCAAACGCTTTAAAGCGATACAAAAACACGCAGAAATGGCTAACAAATACGTCCTTTCACTATCATCGTATTGACGGCGATTCTCTGCGGCTTTTTGTAAATCATCCTTAGCTTTCCTGTGAAGGTCTTCTAATTTAAGATATTCTCGATTTGCCTTGTCTAAAACTTCTTGAGCTTGGTGAACACTCTCTTCGTATTGCCTAATTAAATGGCTATCGTTCCCAATCAAGTTTCCAAGCCATAGTTTTTTGGACGTGATTTCTAATGTTTCTTCAATAACAGAGTCGTGACATCCGGTAACAATCCTGTCAGTTTCTTTAATTTGTTTATGCCAGTCGTTGAGGTCTGTCTTTACTTCGTATAAACTGAATTCATTATCTGCGCGGATATTTCTAGCTCTTCCCAGCACCACGCGCAGATCTTCGCTATCACGTTTTAATCGCGTCGTAACGCGTGGTAAGTAATCCAAGTCCATTGGGCATTGACGATTCATACGAAGGGCCAGGATATCGATAGGAAAATTGCTGGAAATCGAAACCGAAGGGGATTTTAGAATTCTTATTTGTTTGCAAGGTTATTCTTTGTGAGTCATTGGCATGCAGTGGGAGGTTTTAATTCGATCGATTTTTTACAATGTCAGTGATTCCTAGTAATGCGAGGCATTTAAATTAATAATGTCCCAGCGGGCAAAATGACGTTTATCCAACGTTGAATCAACGTTGGAAATGACCTTCCAGACGTTGGATAGACGTTGAAAAGGGTTGACTATGCAAATTGGATCGACGTTACTGTTTCGACGTTGAAACAACGTTGAAATTAGGTTGCCAATCTCGTCAACCATAATTCAACGTTGAATCCACGTTAAAACAACGTTGAGATTGGTTCACAAATCGACGTCGTACATTTAACCATGAATGAACGTTAATTCAACGTCTGTTGGCTGCTGTTGAACCAACGTTTGTAAAACAACGTCAGAGCAACGTAGATATTAGGTTGTCGACGTCGCAACCTTTTTTCTACCAAATTTCAACGTTGAAGCAACGTCGTGTGCCCGGTGGGATGCTACTATATATATATATATATATATATATATATATATATATATATATATATATATATATATATATATATATATATATATATATATATATATATAATTAGGTTTCGTTGTTTACAAAAACATTTGGCAGAGTGCTCAATGGATATCCAGAACATAATTAAATAAGTGCAACGACTCAACAAATTCCACCAGGCATTTTTATTACTATTATTATACATTTAATATGTATTCTCGTTTCTAATTGGTCAGAAAGCACCGGCTAATTTTCAGTATTCGGCATTTATTACGTATTTTCCGCCGATGACGTCATCAGCGTCCAATAATTGTTTTTTTGGATCGAACTTGCATCCAAAAAAAAAATTATTGGACTCTCTCGTGCCCAAACCCTTGCGCGGCCAAAAGCTTGAACCTATAAGCGCGGGGAAAAAAACAAACAATGGCCGACAGCAGATTTGCTTCGCTGAATGAAAGTGAACTCTCCAAATTATTGGCAGATAAGGATAGTGAAAGCACGAAAAAAGCCACAAAGGGGTAAATAGAAGTAGAAATAGAATATTTAGCTGACTTTTGACTTTGTGCAAGGTGTTTGATATTCAAATTGTACTTTTCCTACCTCATGAACGGGAATCGTTTAATATGTTTCTCATGTCTTTAAATGTATAATAAAACAATTATTGGATTCGGCTTTCGCATGATATTTAACAATTATTCGTCAAAGGCGAAGTGATTACCGGTGAATATTCACCGAGACGAAGTCGATGTGAATATTCACCGTAATCACTGAGCCTGAGGCGAATAATTGTTTTAGTATAAATTCTTAATGAATAAAACAAAATATCCGAATATCAGTTCAATTAAATTGCAGTGTTTCTTGTACGCACACGCTTTCAAAATGGCTTCTTGTGTGACTTTTTTGCTTTATTACAAAGTTGTTTTTCTCGATTTCTGCTTGGAATATAAACACAATAACGGAATGAGTCTTTCACCAGACTTAGAATAAAAAATAGTTTTTGTTTAGCATTAATTTCTTCAGGAAATGGCTGAGGAATTTGGTAAAATAAAATGTAAAACTATATCGTATTATCGTTCGAAAAAAAGTTTTAATAACTCTTTTTATTTTACAAGTTTCGAAAACACAATACAGCGGTCAGAACACCTTACAGCACAATGAAAACATGACATATCAAAAGAAATAGTATCGTACAAATAGGGAAATTGACAGGATACAAAACAAAATTGTTTTAAAAAGAATATCACGGCTTTTCCGCCAACAGTCGAGTAGCCGGTTTTTGCAAATTGTTTGAAGCGAACGTTTCGGAGTTTTAAATAAGTTTTAAATTGTCCGTGAATATGTTTGACACAGTAAAATAATAAAGAAATCCTACCTTTCAAGCTAAATGCAACATTTTGTGCTTTTTTCGTTTTCTGGGACGATTTTTTCAATATTTTGTCGATTTTGGAACCAAATTTGCCGGATCGTTCTTTTTGAAAAGCATTATTTACTAGTCAGCTAGTAAATAATGCTTCAGATTTACTTGTCAACTAGCCAATCAGAATGCGCGAAAGCTCATTTAATATGCAAAATTTATACTAAACCGTATTATAGCTTGGCATCTACTCAAGTTTCAATCCTCAATTCTTTATATGCTTATAAATACCTAGGCATATCCCAGCTAAATGTGCATGTCTCAGTTACAATAGTCATAGAATAAAAGTTATTCTGAATAAGGAGTGCATTATATAATAATACAGTACTGTAATTAACACACAATTTATAAAAACTGTATGTTTTGAATCAAATATGATTCACCTTCACCAGTGTTTCACAAGATATGTCGTTATATTTGCAAGACATGTCGTTATATTATATTCTACTTATATCTATCTATAGTATATTTGCTGAAATTATCAGCCGGAAAAGGATGTCTCATGCACTTTACCATTATAGCACTTATATACCCTACTTTAATTTTTTTTCACCCTCAGTCTAACACCAGGTGTTGGTTGCATCAAAGCTGGATTCTTTCAGTGTTGTTTGATTTTACCATGTCTAACATCAGAGGGTAATAGTACAATGCACTAGGATATCAATGGAATGGAGTATAGAGTTAATTTCAATTTCCTTTGTATGCCATGCTTGAAGTTTTTAATGCTGGGTGGGTCGGTTAATAGGTAAAAATGTCAATTTGATCAATTTGTTGTGTGGCAACTTGATTATGGAAGTGCCCTAACTGGAAACAGTCAAAGTCCTTTGTTTGCTTGTTCAAAGTTTATAATATATGAATAAATTTATCTATATTACCTGCACGATCTGCTTAATAATATATGTAACAACCTTTGGGCTACATTTTATATATCTTTAGAGACACCCCGGCAAGTCATGACAAGGGTCAACTGATTTTTTTTTTAATAAAATTACCCATTTCACTCCGAAGTGCCCAATTTTCAGCAGTTTGTTAATATTTAAATGTTTCTGTATCTTGCCTAATGTTAGACAATTTTATTTGCCAAGGAAAATGTCCAGCTAGACTCATGATGTTTCACACAATATTTAACTGTGAGGTCTCAAGCTAGAGAATTTTGCTTATCGACTGTGGTCTGCTTGCCCATTTTCACCTTTTATTACTGACAATTAAGCTGGCATGTATTGGCAATAACTGCTTGATCTTGCAGATGCTTGGTGGCATGGGTCTAACTGCTAGTAGACTACTAGACTGCTCATCCTGCAATTGATTTGAAACCCATTCGTGTAATTAGATTCCTTACAGTTACTCAAACGTTGGTAACTCTGACTGTGGTAAACAATGCCATTGATTTGACACTGCTTAAACTGCCACATTCACCCCTGCCGTCATTAAACTGCCACAACCTAGCATTGATAGCTAATAAAAATACAAACTGTTTTATGTGTATTTTATACAATTTTAAACGATAATATACCTGTCAACCATGGTACTGCATTGCTAGTTTTCAGCTAATTTGATATTATTTCATTACTATTTTTTAACTGGTTTTAATTATCATACTACAATTTTATTACTTTATAAAGTAACTATGTTGCAGTGCTACTATTTTTATATAGCTATTTTATTGTTATTTTATAACTATTTTATTG